GCTCCCCCCCGCGCAGACTTCAACAAGTTAGAATAGGAAGCAGACAGCCAGATTGCAACACTGGAAGCTCGAGACTGGAACTGGTGCAGGGAGCAGCAAACCTGACCCTCGCAGCCTGATGGCCCCACAAGGAGGGCAGCGGATTCTTCTTCTGAGTATTGTAATGATTGGTAGTCTTTGTAGTATTTTGGATTCGTGTTTTTTTTCTTTTTTATCATTATTTGTTAGTGTTATTATTAGTGTTGTCATTCGTGGTATAATAGTTTGTTTTATTGTTATTGTTTTGATCAGTATCAGGATTAGCCTTGTTATTTAGTTAAGTATTCATTCATTTATGTATTATTAGGCGGATTATTGTTTATGATGGTGATTATTCTTTCTATTGTTCGCATCATCACTCATCGTCTTACTATTATGCTTAGCCTCGCTATCTTTATTACTATTATTATGATTAATATTAGTATTATTATTTGTAGTTCTTATATGAGTGTCAGCGCGATTATGATTAACAATAGTATTAGTAGTACCATTACTACTATTATTATTCGTGTTATTATCCGTAGTATTATTAGTCGTATTGTTATCATGATCAGTACTATTAGTCTTAATTCTATTATAAATAATAGTACCAGTGGAACTTATTCGTATTATCATGATTACTCTGACTAGTATTATTATTAGTAGTATCCTTCTTCTCTTTCGAGAGGAGGAGGAGGAAAAGGAAAAGGAGGAAAAGGAACAGGAGGAGGAGGAGCAGAAGGAGGAGGAGGAGGAAGAGGAGGAGGAGAGGAGGAGGGGAGGAGGGAGAAGGGAGAAGGGGGGAGGGAGGAGGGAGAAGAGTGGAGGGAGGAGGGAGGAGGGGAGGAGGGGGGGGAGGAGGGAGGATGGAGGAGTAGGGAGGAGGAGGGAGGAGAGGAGGAGGAGGAGGAGGAGGAGGAGGAGGAGGAGAGGAGGGAGGAGGAGGAGGCAGAGGAGGAGGCAGAGGAGGAGGAGGGAGGAGGGAGGAGACAGGAGGGAGGAGGGAGGAGGGAGGACTGAGGAAAGATCAGGGATCAGGGATCAGGGGTCAGGGAGGCGGCAGGAGGCAGGAGGCAGGCGGAGGTCACAAGGCCCCTGGGGAGAGCTGGGCGTAGGGAGCCACGCTTGAGCTTACCAGGGACCAAGAAGCTTCCAAGACAGCCCAAGACTGCCCAAGAGGTGCCCATACAGGACCGTTCGTCCGCCACCGTGCTAAAAGGGCGCGGCCTCACGTGGGGCAGGAGTACAAAAATCCTTCAAGAACTGGTTGGCCGGGCTTCTGACGGCGGACCCGCCGCCGCTCCACATGTCGAAACCCTACTTGCCGCCACGCTGGTTCCGGGCAGGCTGCGCTGTCTGGCGGAAGGGGACGAGGAGGGGAGAAGCAGGCAGACGACGACGAACGCCCAGGCGGGAGGCCAGGGCCGGCGGGGCGGGCGGGTAGGCAGAAAACGGGCCACGCCGAGACAGCAGGCAGGGAGCAGGAGGAAAGGACAGGGGGGGAAGCAACGAGCAGACGACAAGGAGGAGGAGGAGGAGGAGGAGGAGGAGGAGGAGGAGGGAGGAGGAGGAGAGGAGGAGGACGAGGACGAGGAGGACAAGGAGGAGGGAAAGCAGCGACCGCAAGCAGACAGGCCGGGCCAGGGGCCGGAAGAGAAGAGCCACCCGCGACGAGGCTACGGACGGACCCTACGGCGGCACCCTGAGCGGGGTGGCCGCCCGAGCCCAGCACGATGCGGCGGGGAGGAGGATGATGAGGAGGAGAAGGAGAAGGAGGAGGAAGAGGAGGAGGATGAGGAGGAGGAGGAACAGCAGCAGGAGGAGGAAAAGGAGGAAGGAGGAGGAATGGGAGGAGGAGGAGGAGGAGGAGGAGGAGAGGAGAGGAGGGAGGAGGAGGAGGAGGAGGAGGAGGAGGAGGAGGAGGAGGAGGAGGAGGAGGAGGAGGAGGGGTGGAGGAGGAGGTGGGAGGATGAGGAGGAGGAGGAGGAAGAGGGAGAAGGGAGAGGAAGGAGGGAGGTGGGAGGAGGGAGGAGGGAAGAGGAAGAGGAGGAGGAGGGAAAAGGAGGAGGAGAAGGAGGAAAAGGAGGAGGACGGGGAGGAGGAGGAGGAGGAGGAGGAGGAGGAGGAGGGGAGGAGGAGGAGGAGGAGGAGCAGGAGGAGGAGGAGGAGGAGGAGGAAGAGGAGGAGGAGGAGGACGGAGGAGGAAGACCAGTGTAACCCCAAGAACCATCAACGATGTTGGAATAAACCCTCCCTCCAAGTCCCCTTTTCTACAACGGTTCGTTCCCACTGAGGGAACTGCCTCGTTGGAAGGTAACAGTTTGAAGACCCTGAAGCATACCAAAACATGTTCTCGGGATTCCAACGCTACGGATCAACCTGATTGTTGCGTCTTGACGATCCAGAATACTGCCATAACGCTATTCCCTGGACATCAACACCACACATCAACGTACTTGCTGCGCCCTCATAAGCCCGAGTCCTTCTAAAACACGATTTCTGGTAGGTTGATCCTGGGAGCCCGTGAAACTCTTGCAAATGTTTGAAGCGAATGTGCGCGGTGCTTAAGCGAGAGCCACATTTTTTAAAAGGGGCCGCCCTCAATGAGTGAAACTTTGGCAATTTTAGAAAACGAGCGCGCGTGGCGCTGAGGCGAGAGCCACATTTTGAAAACCGGTCGTCTTCAGTCTGTGAAGCTCGTACAAATGCTCAAAGTAATGTGTGGCGCGGCGCTTGGTGCGGGAACGCGGCGCTTGAGCAAATTGTGGGGAATTTCAATGCACGGGCGCGATTCTTGAATACACCGCAAGCAAATCTCCAGCGAGATCGCGATTCCAGAGCGCCGAGAGAGCGATTCCTGCACAAATTGTAAGGCAGTCCCAAGCAGTAAAATGCGAGGAAGTCTCAGGCGGCAGCGGGGGTCATGGTTAAACTAAGTGTGGAGAAGTCTCACGCGGGAGCCGTTGCTGTTGTTGTAATCCGGGGGCCAGGGGCACAGTTTGACCCTTGTGGCTTTCCCTGATCAGTAGCAGGGTGCGAAGCTCGGGGGAAGCACTTGAATTGAATTTGGTTGGCGAAAGACCAACCATATGCAGTTGTGAATACCGTCGTTGTTCGTATCGCTTTCGGTGGATCTCCTTATGGGGCCGCGAAGCGGGTGAAGAGTGTGCCGACATGGGGCAGGACGGAGCTCCCTATGGGGCCACGAAGCGTGCGCGGGTGTGCCAAAATGGGGCGGCGCCGCCATGCGGACTGCGCCACTGGGACCTTAGGTGGAGCTCCCTATGTGGCCACGAAGCGTGTGAGGGGTGTGTCAAAATGGGGCGGCGCCGTTGTGCGGACTGCGCCACTGGGACCTTAGATGGAGTTCCCTGTGGGGCCACGAAGCGTGCGAGGGGTGTGCCAAAGTGGGGCGGCGCCACCATGCGGACTGCGCCACTGGGACCTTAGGTGGAGCTCCCTATGAGGCCACGAAGCGTGTGAGGGGGGTGCCAAACTGGGACGGCGTCGCCACGCGGACTGCACCATTGGGACCTTAGGAGGAGGGGCCACGAAGCGTGTGAGGGGTGTGCCAAAATGGGGCGGCGCCGCCATGCGGACTGCGCCACTGGGACCTCAGGTGGAGCTCCCTACAACCCCCTGGATTAAAAAAGTTTGGGCTGCAGAGGTCGAGGAAAAAACTGTGATGATCGGTTACTGTTAGGCCACGGGGCCCCGGTACAATGTTGCAGAGGCCGCCGCGGCAAAATTACCGGTGCATCCTCACCCCCTTGAAAATTATGATCGCCAAGTGGGGTGACGACTGGAAATTCGTTTACGGCCCAATATTTCAACCGAAAAAATCCGGTCGCTTTTCAGACGACCGGGAATTTTCAGAGGCCACCGGATTTCGGCGATTCCGCTCAGGACTTCCTCACACAAGGACAGTCCCATTTATGTTGCCTGAAAGTTGCGCTTCTGCTTGGGACTTCCTGTAAGTCATGTTTACCTCTCTCGGCGTGCGCGTTTCTAAACAGAACTTGTTGCTCCCAGGGCTCAGCGCCTTGCGGTGCCTTTCCGTTGTTCGGCGCGCGGGCCTGTCGCGGGGTCATCTCGGAGGCCGTGGCCCAGAGTCGAAGGTCCAGGGACAATCGAGGGTCGAAGCTCCCGGCCCCATCTGATAGCGACGATGCAAGGAGGCCTGCAGTGCCGATCCGGATTTTTTAATCCAGGGTGAGGTATGGGCCACGAAGCGTGTGAGGGGTATGCCAAAATGGGGCGGCGCCGCCATGCGGACTGCGCCACTGGGACCTTAGGTGGAGGGGCCACGAAACGTGTGAGGGGTGTGCCAAAATGGGGCGGCGCCGCCATGCGGACTGCGCTTGTGGGGCGTTAGGTGGAGGGGCCACGAAGCGTGTGAGGGGTGTGCCAAAATGGGGCGGCGCCGCCATGCGGACTGCGCCACTGGGACCTTAGGTGGAGGGGCCACGAAGCGTGTGAGGGGTGTACCGAAATGGGGCGGCGTGTGATGGGTGTGCCAAAATGGCGCGACGCCGCCATTCGGACTGCGCCAGTGGGGCGTTAGGTGGAGGGGCCACGAAGCGTGTGAGGGGTGTGCCAAAATGGGGCGGCGCCGCCATGCGGACTGCGCCATTGGGACGTTAGGTGGAGCTCCTTATGGGGCCACGAAACGTGTGAGCGGTGTGCCGAAATGGTGCGGCTCCGCCATGCAGACTGTGCGGGAGGAGGGGGAGGAGTAGGAGGAGGAGGAAGGAAGGAACGCGGGGCGCTGTTTCTTCAGAACGAGGACCCAACACCACAGGATGGTTGGGAAAAACACAATGGTTACCGGAGGGGGGGATCATCAACATGTACTTCTCAATCGTCCGTAGCCATTTTGGCTCAAGGTAGAAGCCTTGCGCCTCTGCCAGCTCCCTTGCTAGCAACCCGTGCCTCCTCCCTCCCTTGTGTGCCCTCCAGAAATTGGGGTTGGCTCGCGGCCGATGGACGGGGGCGCGGCGCCAAGCGAATTTGCGCGCGGCGCCAATGACGCGATCCGGGAGCCCCCTGCAGGCCGCCCGGCTCTGAACCCGCGGCCACCCCGGCCGTGGTCGGTGAAAGCGGGCAGCCAGCGTGATGCGGCCGGTGGGTTTGCGGACGCGGCAATCGAGAGGAGGATGCGGGTCATGGAGGTGGCGCTCCAGGCGGGCGGCAGGCTCGCGGGCGAGTCGATCGAGAGGAGGGTCCGTGCCCTGGAGGACACGCTCCGGGCAGGCGGCGGGCTCGCCGGCGCGGCGGTGGAGGAGAGGCTCCGCGCCGTGGAGGAGGCCGTGGCAGTGCTGGCCGACGCGGCGCTCGAGAAGCGAATCAGCGCCGTGGAGGATGCGATTCGACAGGAGCGCAGGGAAAGGAAGGCGGTGAAGTCTTTCGGCCAGGTCGAGGAGTCTGAGGAGCTCGAGGTGCCCGTGCTGGATCGGCGTGGGTGCCCTGGACCCCCCGGCAGCAGTAATGACAGAAGGTCAGTGACTCCACTCATGCTCGATTGTGGGGACATGTACACCATTAGCGAGTCAGTTTGGGACTCGATGCTCTTCTGCGGGCACAGCTCGATTGGTCTCACGAACTCGGTGATGATGTTCTCAATCTGGTTTCTTAACCTGATTTTGCAGTTCATGTTCATTGTGATCATCGTTTATCTGATGACGCAGTCTGTCAGCCTGGACGCAGATGTACTTGATGGCCTGCTCAAGTTTAGGCTCGGTTTGGCGCACAGAGCCGAGTATGCAGACAAGGTGACGCAACGATCGATGGCCCAACAGATCTGCGATGGAGATTCTAAGCTGCACCTGGCTGGTGAGCAGACGGGTCTTTACACCGACCTCATGGAGTACGTTGGTGGAGGCGTCGTAGCTCAGTGCCTCGTTGTATTCATTCAGATCCTGTGGCTCTGCACAATACTGAAGGATGTCGATATTACATACAGCATATTCAGAGCAGTGTGCCAGTGCAGGATGGGGAGCCAGACGAAGCTCGTGGTTGGTGACGTGGATGACCACGAAGACGACAGTCCTCCCACTCTCGTTCGCGCAGGAGCTCGTGACATTGGTGTCGGTGAAGATGATTCTGGCCACCTGTTCGACTTCATGAAAGTCGTGCGCATGGTCACCGTGTGGCCTGGCCGCGTGGCATTCTTTTTCTTCAGCGTGTGCCTCCCGAAATTGCTGGTGGCCGGCCTTTTGTGGTGGTTCGGGGCCAAGTGGTTAGCCAACACGGTGAACTTCTCCGAGCTGATCTTGAACGGCGTGGCGCTCGCCTTCGTCCTCGAATTCGACGAGGTGCTGTACTCGGTCCTCATGCCTCGGCGAACCAAGACGCTGATCTGCAACTTGAAGCCCCTGCCAATGCCACCGCGCAAACCAGGCTCCAGGCTGTCTGGAGTGAGCACCGCTTTCACCATCGCCCTTGTCATGACCATAATCTCGAGTTTTTACATGTTCGTGGTCTTGCCGATCAATTGGCAAATCCTCCAGGGCGAGAAAATCGTGTGCTCGGGCGACCTGAATTTCGTCTACACCGAGAACCCCGCCACTAAAATGGTGCACGTCGCGAAGACGATGGGGGAGAATGTATACACCGACACCGAGGAGATTATCGCGCAGGTGTCGCAGGTTGAACTCCAGGAAAACGACGGGTGGGAGGGCAGGGTGAGCCAGAGCATATTCGACGCCTCTAGATCGACGTTTGCCCGGGCCGTCGACGAGTCGACGTTCGGCCTGATCGTCGATATGAGCGTGTGGAGCCTTTCGGACGCGGCCAGCACGCTACCATGCCGCGATCTGGGCTCTGGCCAGAGCACCGAGGCATCGGTGCAGACGCTGAGGGTGCTCAGGGGCGACCCCAACATCAGCAGCTGCGACGACATCCCACGAGACCTCTGCGCCGCCCAGGAAAGCACGTGGCTTCGCGCCATATGCCCGAGGCACTGCCGCTGCGAGGAGCCGCTCCTGAGTAACGTTCGGCTTCTTCGGAACGGCCAGCTTCGGGCGCCCCAGCCAGTGCGAGACATTCAAGGCGGCGACAAGCGAGATAGCTTTCAGATATGCGCTGAGCACTCTGGAGAGTGCCAGTCGGCGCTTGCAAGCTCCGGAATCGCTGGGCGCAGCGCTGGATTTCTCAATTCTAAATCGGGGGTTGAGCGCAGCCCAGGACTCAAACGCAACCCAGAACGCAAGCTCAGACCAGCTGACTACCTCCTCTTTGTTCCAAGGGTGCTCGGACTTCGCAAGCGCGGAGTTCTCCTTCGCAGGCGGGTGCGCTGACTCGAACGAGGAAACGCAACTCGACAAGAATGGCAACGACTGCTCCGTGTACACGGCTGTCCCCTCTTTCTGCGGCATGGCCGACGACGACGACTTCCAGGCGGCCGATTTGTGCTGTGCTTGCGGTGGCGGCCGCGAGGACGTCCTGAGTTCTGCTTCTTGCTGGGACAATTTTGAAAGCATGTGTTGGCATATGCCGCGGAATGCCCGGGCGTTCCTGTTCTACGTGAGGGGCCTTCTTGAATATTTGACGAGCCTGTCAGGATTCAACGACAGCGTCACCGAGGTCGTCGAGAAGGATTACGCTGGGGTCAATCCCGACGAGGGCATGATGGCCGACCTCATCGAGCACGTCGCGACCGGCGCCGTGGGGCGGGCTCTGGTCAGTGGCATTTGGGAGTTGATGCCTGGGCTCGCGCACCCGCGGGGGTTGTCCGGCTGCGACTTTCTCGCGTCGTACGAGGTCACGTCTTTGCTGAACCTCGACGCGTGCGCCGACGGGGACCACACGTCTCTGAGGTTCTTCTGCCCAAAAGCCTGCGGCTGCGACTCATCGTTCGGCATGGACGAGTGTCCCGTTGCTTGCGTCCTCACGGAGTGTTTGGAGGCAAATGCATCGTGTGCTCACGTGCACCCTTGGTACAGCGACGAGTGCCTCGCTGGGTATCACAACGATGGCGGGCGTCCTACGTGTCTCAGCTGCGCCGGCGGCGAGACGCGGCGGCGGCGGGCGGCCGACTGCACGGACTGCCCCGACGGCTTTTACGACATTGGGAATTTGGACGACTGCGTGTCGTGCGTGGGTGGAGCCGTCCGGCGGCGACGCTCCCAGTCCTGCACTGACTGTGCCCCGGGCTATGTTGACGCCGGCGACAGCGACGAGTGCAGCCCTTGCGTGGGATGCACCACGACCCGCAGGCGGTCTGTCTTCTGCGCAGAGTGCGCGACTGGGAGGTACAACGAGGGGGGCATGGAGGACGACTGCCAGTTGTGCCTCGGCGTTTGGACGACGAGGCGGCGCGCGTCCACTGCAAGCGAGTGTCCGGCTGGCCACTATAACGACGGCACCTCGGACGATTGCCTTCAGTGTGGCAGAGACCGTGAGACAAGGCGCCGCCGTGCCGAGACTTGCACCACCTGCGATGCTGGTTACACCAACCTTGACGGGGACGACACGTGTGAGCCTGTTGGGTGTCCATACAACTCTACTGGAGACAGCGTCGTGGACGGATGCAAGTGCGATGTTGGATTTGTCGGTCTGATCCGACCTCTTTCCGGGTAACCGTATTTTTCGGGTGCATGTTCGGAGCTACCCTTCTACAAAATAACTTCTGGATTTTGCCCGGTTCCAGTCTTGGACACTGGTCTGTGTCCTTTCGCTGCGCAGGTACTTGGTATGAGTGATGCTACCTCCGCGACTGAGAGAAACACGTATTATGATTTCACGTGGTGGGAGTATGCGTCTTACGAGTGGGAGCCACGTGGGTGTTACGTGGATACCTGGAACGGCAACCTTCTGTCCAATGAGTACGGAGAGCAGGTTTGTAGTCCGAGGTATGCGTGCATTTGCATGGGGTACGAGGACGAGTTTGTTTGCACTGATTCGGGAGACACAACGTGCCCAAATGCCACCTACGCTAGTTTTTCTGCATATCATAATTGTTCGGATGGCGAAGGGAGAGTTGCTGTGATTGCGGCGGTGGGGACCTCACGAAGCAGAATGCAAGCTCGTGCGTGGACACAGATGGATTGCACCTCAGTGTTCCCGCCGAATTCAGTTTTGAGAACGGCCAGGGTTCCTCACTTCGATGTCTAAAGTGGGACTGGATGCCAGCAACCTGTCATTGGGCGATCTACTATGACGAAGAAGATTTCACTGCTGCTGACATGTGCTGCGCTTGCGGTGGCGGGCAATATACGATCACTTTGACCGCTTCGAGCTCCACGACCACAACGTCGGCCACCGAGTCGAACGCTACGCAGCTTTAAATATTACAGCCCGGAGGCAGCGCCAGGAGTGGCTGGCGCGTGGAGGGCGGCTGGCAGCGGGCGACGACGCCAGGCTGCCGACACTGGAGGAACAGGAGGCGGAGGCGGAGGCGGATGAGGCTGGCCGAGGGGGCCAGTGACGCGACGGCGAGCGGCGCCGTGAATGTACTCATTCGTATTGCAGAATTGTAATCGGAGGTGAGGGGTTGAGATATCCGTAAGGGCTTCGCCCCCTGCCGCCGGCCCCCTCTCTCGGAGAATGGGCCATGGAAGAGCTAAGTCATGAGGCCTTGGCGCTGTCGTGAAGCAGTATCGAAACTTCATGCGAAGCCGATTCGCAATCAGCAAAACCAACTGATCACAAGAGGGGTTACCACACCTGGCGATTGGTAAGACGTGTATGGTTTACGGGCTTGGTTACCACACCTTGCGATTAAAGGGCCGAGGGAGTTCTCGCAGTTTGGGTTACCACGCCTTGCGATGGATGTGCGTGAAGGGTGGCACCGAATTTCAGAAATGTGGCAAATCCCATTTGTTTTTGGACCCTGACCCCGCGGATCTGCGTGAGGGGTGGCACCGAATTTCAGAAATGTGGCAAATCCCATGTGTTTTTGGACCCTGACCCCGCGGATCTGCGTGAGGGGTGGCACCGAATTTCAGAAATGTGGCAAATCCCATGTGTTTTTGGACCCTGACCCCGCGGATCTGCGTGAGGGGTGGCACCGAATTTCAGACACGTGGCAAATCCCCTGTGTTTTTGGACCCTGACCCCGCGGATCTGCGTGAGGGGTGGCACCGAATTTCAGAAATGCGGCACATCCCCTGTGTTTTTGGACCCTGACCCCGCGGATCTGCGTGAGGGGTGGCACCGAATGTCAGAAATGTGGCAAATCCCGTGTGTTTTTCCCAACCATCCTGTGGTGTTGGGTCCTCGTTTTGAAGAAACGTCGCCCCGCGTTCCTCCTTCCTCCTCCTTCCTCCTTCCTCCTCCTTCCTTCCTCCTCCCCTTCCTCCCCCTCCTCCCCTCCCACACCCATTCTGGCACACCCCTCACACGTTTCGTGGCCCCATAGGGAGCTCCACCGAAGGCCCCAGTGGCTGCGCCCGCATGCGGTTCCACCCCCCATTCTGGCACACCCCTCACACGTTTCGTGGCCCCATAGGGAGCTCCACCGAAGGCCCCAGTGGCTGCGCCCGCATGCGGTTCCACCCCCCATTCTGGCACACCCCTCACACGTTTCGTGGCCCCATAGGGAGCTCCACCGAAGGCCCCAGTGGCTGCGCCCGCATGCGGTTCCACCCCCCATTCTGGCACACCCCTCACACGTTTCGTGGCCCCATAGGGAGCTCCACCGAAGGCCCCAGTGGCTGCGCCCGCATGCGGTTCCACCCCCCATTCTGGCACACCCCTCACACGTTTCGTGGCCCCATAGGGAGCTCCACCGAAGGCCCCAGTGGCTGCGCCCGCATGCGGTTCCACCCCCCATTCTGGCACACCCCTCACACGTTTCGTGGCCCCATAGGGAGCTCCACCGAAGGCCCCAGTGGCTGCGCCCGCATGCGGTTCCACCCCCATTCTGGCACACCCCTCACACGTTTCGTGGCCCCATAGGGAGCTCCACCGAAGGCCCCAGTGGCTGCGCCCGCATGCGGTTCCACCCCCCATTCTGGCACACCCCTCACACGTTTCGTGGCCCCATAGGGAGCTCCACCGAAGGCCCCAGTGGCTGCGCCCGCATGCGGTTCCACCCCCCATTCTGGCACACCCCTCACACGTTTCGTGGCCCCATAGGGAGCTCCACCGAAGGCCCCAGTGGCTGCGCCCGCATGCGGTTCCACCCCCCATTCTGGCACACCCCTCACACGTTTTTCGTGGCCCCATAGGGAGCTCCACCGAAGGCCCCAGTGGCTGCGCCCGCATGCGGTTCCACCCCCATTCTGGCACACCCCTCACACGTTTCGTGGCCCCATAGGGAGCTCCACCGAAGGCCCCAGTGGCTGCGCCCGCATGCGGTTCCACCCCCCATTCTGGCACACCCCTCACACGTTTCGTGGCCCCATAGGGAGCTCCACCGAAGGCCCCAGTGGCTGCGCCCGCATGCGGTTCCACCCCCCATTCTGGCACACCCCTCACACGTTTCGTGGCCCCATAGGGAGCTCCACCGAAGGCCCCAGTGGCTGCGCCCGCATGCGGTTCCACCCCCCCATTCTGGCACACCCCTCACACGTTCGTGGCCCCATAGGGAGCTCCACCGAACGCTCCAGTGGCTGCGCTCGCATACGGTACCACCCCCCATTTCGGCACACCCCTCACACGCTTCGTGTGTGGCTCCATGGTGAGCTCAACCGAACGCCCCAGCGGCTGCGCTCGCATGTGTTTCCCCCCCCACATTTCGGCACACCCCGCACACGGTTCGTGGCCCCATAGAGAGCTCCACCGAAGGCCCCAGTGGCTGCGTTCGCATGCGGTTCCACATCCTTTTCGGCCCGCCTTTTCACACGTCTCGTGGCCCCATAGGGAGCTCCACCGAACGCCGCAGTGGCTGCGCTCGCATGCGGTTCCACCCCCCATTTCGGCACCCCCCTCACACGTTTCGTGGCTCCATGGGGAGCTCCACCGAAGGCCCCAGTGGCTGCGCTGGCATGCGGTTCCACACCCCATTCTGGCACACCCCTCGCACGTTTCGTGGCCCCATAGGGGGCTCCACCGAAGGTCCCAGTGGCACTGCCCGCTTGCGTCCGCCACCACCCAGCACAGCCCTTGTTCCCTGCGCTTCACCCACCCAGACCAGCGCTTCGTAGCCCTATAGGGAGCTCCACCAAAGGTCCCAGCGGCACCGCCCGCATGCGTCCGCCACCACCCTGCACAGCCCTTGCTCCCTGCCTGCGTTTCACCCACCCAGTACAGCGCTTCGTGGCCCCATAGGGAGCTCCACCGAAGGTCCCAGTGGCACCGCTCGCATGCGTCCGCCACCACGCAGCACAGCCCTTGCTGACCGCGTCTCACCCACCCAGTACAGCGTTTCGTGGCCCCATAGGGAGCTCCACCGAAGGTCCCAGTGGCACCGCCCGCATGCGTCCGCCACCACCCAGCACAATTGCGGCATTCACAACTGCATATGGTTGGGTCTTTCGCCAGGCTAATTGGACCCTGACCCCGCGGATCTGCGTGAGGGGTGGCACCGAATTTCAGAAATGTGGCAAATCCCCTGTGTTTTGGGACCCTGACCCCGCGGATCTGCGTGAGGGGTGTCGATTTCCCCCCCAGCAATTCAGACAACGCGCCCAGGGGGTGCTAAAAATCTGGTGTGGGCCTCCCCCCCCTCGCGCGGTCAATCAACTAGTTACAGTAACCAGCAATTGGTCAACTAGTTACAGTAACCAGCAAGAAGCAGAACTGTAACATTGGAAACTACAAGCTACAACTGGTACAGGAAACTGCGAACCTCGCGCCTACAGCCTGGTGGCCCCACAAGGGGGCCGGCGGATTCTCTCTCTCACTCTCTGTTCCTCTCTCTCTCTCTCTCTCTTCCTTTTGCGCGTTCGGTCTCTCTCTCTCTCTCTATTTCTCTCTTTGTCTGTCTCTCTGCTCTCTGTCTTTTCCTCTGAATGTCGCGGTCTCGGCTTCCGTCGCAGCATTTGCCTCTCTGTCTGTCTGTCTGTCTGTCTGTCTGTCTGTCTGTCTGTCTGTCTGTCTGTCTGTCTGTCTGTCTGTCTGTTCTTCTGTTTATATGTCTCCTTTCTGGTTGTCCGTCCTTGTGCCGGTGTGTGTGTGTATGTGTCTGGCGCGCGCGCACAGGCCCAGGTTTCAGCCGCCGTATTTGTCTTGCGTTGCCTCGTCGCCGCGCGCGGGGCCGCGACCGCCAAAAAGTGTATCTGTGTGCCTGTGTGTGTGTGTGTCTGCCGTTCTGCCGGCGTCTGCCTTGCCCACTTGCCCGCATATCCATCGGTTTTACACCAGCATTTCCTCGCAGACAAAAAGGTACCTGTGCCCCTAAGATTGGGGCGCCCAGGGGGTACAACAACGCCACTGATCTGTTACACGATTAGAAAACGGTGGACAGGAACAGCATAAGAGCAGAAGCTGCGAAAGGATCGTCCATTCGAGTGTATTCAGGCGGTGGTTTCGATCAGTTTTTTTTTTGTAAACTGCTTTGCCAGCTCTGCACCGCAACCGGTTCAAGTACCGAGTGGCCAGATGACGGGCATGCGCCGACCCGTACTTGCGTGAACGCTGGCAGACGTGTCTCAGGAGGGGAAAAAACACACAGACACAATTATTCGTCGATTCCCCAGAAAGTATGCGAAAATATGGCAAGTGGGGGGGAAGACATAAACCCAGAAAATATGGGAAAATATGGGGAATCTTTTTATTTGTGTGTATTTATTTGTGTGTCCCAGGGCCCCTTCAGTGTCGTGCTACTGCACGGCCCTGAGGCTCGCGGGGAGAAGCTGGTGGGTGGGCGCACAAGCGCTTGCCCTGACTCCCCCCCAGTACAGTAGGGGTCTTGAAGAAGGAACCTGTTTCGTTGGGGAGGGGCTCTGTGTTCCCTGATCGTTTCACAGTTTGCCTCAGGTGTTCCCCAAGGTTCTCGACGGGGAGTCGAAGTTCAGCTTGTGGGAAAGGAGGGGCCTCGTTCCTTATTTAGGGTTCCTTAGGTCAGCGCCCCCCCAGTACGTCCGCCTGCCGCTTGCTCTTCTGCGCGTGTCTGCACATCCGACGAAGGTATGGGGCAACCGGACGAGGCAGGCCGCCGCCGCCGAGTCGCCACGTTTCCCTGGGCTCTCGTCTCCCGCCCCGCCGCGAGGAGCTCCGGGCAGCTGTCGCGCGGCTCATCCTCAGCCATGCGCCTCTGCCCGCCGGAGATGGACGCGGGCGCTCGCTGCCCCTGAGCAAGCTCGGCTTCTTCCCAGAGGTCCAACGGCACCGGTCGGGGCTGGGCACGTTGCGTCGCGCGCTGGAGCGCATGAGTGACACCTTCGAGGTGGTGCAGCCGGAGGGGAAGGCGGCCGAGGTACGGCTCTGCTTCATTGTAACGCAGCGTTGCGAATTGCCTCGTTGCGCTGATGGGAACCGAGCTGCTAAGTTGCTGAAGTCTCAGCCTCGCATACTGTTGGCCCCACGGGGGGGGTGTCGCTGGCGGATAAGGAAGAATGGGGAGATTGGAAGGGCCGCTCAAAGGGTTGGTGAGACCTCCTCCCTCTCCTTCTCCGTTGGTCTGGTCTGTTCTTGCCTGGTCTGGCCTAGGTCTGGTCCTGTGTGATTCGTTTTGGTCGTGTTGGGTTCTGTGTAGTCTAGTCTGGTCTTGTCTGCTCTGGTCTGGTCTGGCCTGGCCGACTCGAGCAGTGGCAGGATAAGGAAGAAGTGTAAACGGCTTGGTACAGAAAGAGAGAGAGAGTGAGAGAGAGAGAAAGTATGTGGTATATATATATATGTATATATATAGAGAGAGAGAGACTTCAATGCACTTACAGGGGTTCGTTCGGAGATCGCTCCTCCCTCCCCTTCCTCCCTCCTTCCTCTTTCCCCTCCCTCCCTCCCTCCTCCCTCCTCCCTTCTCCCCCCTCCTCTCTCCTTCTCCTCCTCCTTTCTCTTCCTCCTCCTCATCCTTTCTCCTCCTCCTCCTCCTCCTCCTCCTCCTCCGTCTCCTCCTCCTTCTCCTCCGCCTCCTCCCTCCTCTCTCCTCCTCTTCCCCCTCCACCTGCTCCTCGCCCTCCTCCTCCCCCTCCTCCTCCTCCTCCTCCTCCTCCCTCCTCCTCCTCCTCCTCCTCCTCCTCCCCCTCCTCCTCTTCCTTCTCCTCCTCCTCCTCCTCCTCCTCCTCCTCCTACTCCCCCTCCCCTGGGGGTTAGGAGGCTGCGTGACTACATTGGAGGAGGGGGAGAGCCTTTCAGGGCTCTTGTGGCCTATCATTTTGTCTTCGGAGCCTCTTGGGGGAATCTTGGTCGACTCGAGGGCCCGTTGGAGGCCTTTTTGGGACGCGAACAGTGCTTTACCCATCTGCCTGCGGCAAGCACCGCCACCGTACCCGCGCATCAGTGCAGCAGCAAGGAGGTTGAGTTTCAGACCCGCTCCAGTGAAGTGCCTTGCTCGAGCTGGCGCGGGTCCTGAACACCCCCTTCTTCTCCGCAGCCTCTTTCTCCCAGCCTTTCCCTCTTGAGGCAGGCGATCGCAAACATGGATCAAGGGGGCGTGGATTAGCGACGGGTCCTGTTTCCATGGGATATCGCGGATTTCCCCCGCCGAGCGAGGCGGCACCACCGGCCGCATCTTGGGGATGGCACCTCCCCCGACCCATGGATTTGCCGCTCGCGCGCCAGGTCCATGGATTGCTGATCCATGTTTGCGCGCTCCCGATTGAGGGCGTACAGTCGGACGTGATCGGAGAGGACACAAGACCCTTCCGAGAGCCACGTTGCCACGGTCGACCTTCTCATCCGGGCCGCCTGTATTGCACGCTTCTTTTGTGGGCTCCTCTGTGCTCTCTTGAGCGCGTCGTGGGCCCTTCCGGGGGGGCCCTCTCGGGCGCTCTTCGGGGGCCCGGATCCTGATCTGTGGTGGTCGAGACGAGGTCTTCTATCGCATGTTGAGTCTATTGCATCCCCCTAGCAACGATTTACACTGGCGGGGTTCAAGTGCTGTTCCAGCGAGCGCTGCGGCCGTGAGCTTCGATGCCACTCGTTGCGAGACTGGTCTTTCAAGCTGCACGGGCAGCTTTCGCGCTCTGGCGATCCCCTCGGGCAAGGCCCTCTTGCGGCCAGGCAGTGAGACGTAGAGGAGTGGAGCCTGAGGAGGAGAAGGAGCAACAGCAGGGGTAGCAGGGGTAGCAGGGGTAGCAGGAGGAGGAGGAGGAGGAGGAGGCGGATGAGGAGGAGGAGGTGGAGGAGGTGGAGGAGGAGGAGCTGCGGCGGGCGGGGTGGGCTCTTGTCATGGTCGACCGCTGCGGGCGCACGATTGCTTTTGCTTGTGGGGCCATCTCCTTAGACACGTGTCCACAGCAGTCGTCTCATGATGGCGAGGATTATGCGATTCATACGTCGTCGTCGTCGTGCTCTTTTGGGCCAGCTGAGGTTTATGTTGATTGCGGCGCCTCCACGCCTTATTGTTTGGGCAGCCAGATTTTTTCGACCTCAGCCGACTGTGCGAACGCTCATCTGTGGCAGCGCGTGTGGCACGCTTTCGATGACTCGGGCGCACTGCATGCATACCGACGTCGCAGCTGGCC